CTCTTTCAAACTCTCAAATCATTATCCAGCAACGGTTGTTAGGAATCAAATAGTCATACCAAAATACAACACAGGTCTATACCATGTTATTAGAGAAAAAATTCAATCCAAACCCACTTTAAAAGTGATGTTCATACAAAGTCTGAACGCATCTTGACTCATTGGCTCGAAAGAGTTGGTCAATATTAGTCTATACCTTCAGGCTTGATTAGCTGCACACAGTAGCAGAGTAATATGATTTGATAATCAGCCTGATGAACCTTCACAGCAAATATGAAAATCATATAGACATAGATTTCGACATCCAGGAATAATTCCACATTACGGGCGAGATGTATCATTATCTCCATCAGTATTTACTCAGAGACTCTCGACATCAGAAATTTGAGTACAATTATCATTTCTCTTTCTTCATAATGATAATTCTCTTTTGAATACCTGTGATTCATTTCCTGTCTCATCTCTCTCTCTCTCTTCTCCTTTTCTCTCCCCTCCCTTTCTCCTATACTCTCTCTCTTTTCATCTCTCCTTTTTTTATCTCACCGTTTGCTTTACATTCTAGTAATCAATATCAGATTCCGAATGTTTAGGGGATGAAAAATCATTTCAAATTATTATATTATTGATTTCCACTATTGTATCAAACCAGAATTAATTACAACAGTTAGTATTTGAGGGGAGCACACGGTGGGAAAGAGAACATATATATCTTCTTTTTTTTTAGGTCCCTAAAATCACAACGACTCAGCCAGCGGATGAATAAGCAGGGGGGAGGGGGGGTAAGAGGACACTTTTTTGTGGTCACGCAATTTTTAAATTTGACATTTTGCTCCATTGGGGGGGGGGGGGTAAGGTCACCTTTTTAGGTCAGCCATTGGCAATTTTTGGGGGGGCCGAGGGGGCGTGTCCCTTTTTTCAGTACATTTTGGGCGAATTTAGGGCCGATTTAAACATTTTTGGGGCGGGGGGGGGGGATGTGCCCCCCCCCCCCCCCCCCCTCCCTGGATCCGTCACTTCATTTTATAAATTCTCTAAACCTGGCCCTAACCATCTATACCTACATGTTCACCCCTTCCCAATGATCGCAGCCTATCGGTATCATTCTTCAGTATCCCTCACATATTTGACACTCCCAGGTGGTTCAGCCGTAGTAGTTCCATGGTTCAGCTCTCCAATCATCACAACACAAGAGTCACATTAGTACCCCAAGTCCGAGAGCGATACAGCACAGATGAGCACAGCGGGGGTCGCCCTACCAGCCCTGGTAAATGCTCCTGGTTGCACGTTAACCACTCCCCAAGGAGGTGCAGTTCTGACAACTTTCAAGAAACAGGTTTCTGGCACCACTGAGTTCAGGCTGTCAACATTCTCTTTCACACCTCAACTCAAGGTAGAAAAGACTTTAAACCGAAATTTAGATCCACCTCCACAAAATCAACACTTGTCAACAGATGTCCATCATAGTAAACAAGCTCTAATTTCTGTACATGTGCTGAATAAACCTTCCATGATTCTCCCTAGTTTCTGTTACTCTATAATGATGTATGTAAACTGTTATATTTTTCCATTTAAAGAGAGGTTTAGTGATCATATGTTCTCAGGGCAAGTACATGATTTTGTGAGGGGTACACAACTTTGATAACAGGTTTAGCAAGCAAGCAAAATGTAATTACCAACAAGTATTTGACATGTAAAGAGGAAAAACAAGGAGAGGAATATCTTGTTCCCTATCACATCCCTCTTGATCTGCCAATGAATTCTTTATTTAAATTAAATTTTTCTGATTATCATATCTTCCATCCAATATAAATCCTCAGGTATTTCATGGAACCTTATCTTTCACCTTTCTCTCTCTATCTTTCTCTCTACCTCTCTGTCTCTCTCTCTCTCTCTCTCTCTCTCTCTCTCTCTCTCTCTCTCTCATTAACTTTCAAATCTTCAGTCTCCTCCTCCTTGAACTGTCCTTAATCTTATGCTCATCTGGGCTCGCATTTTACACAAATAACATTCAAACAAGGGCAAAAACAACCTTCCTTTCGCCAGAACAGAAGTTCACTGGACTTTCTAAACACATCCACTTTAATAGCATGTCCTCTACCTACCCACAATCAATATTTTCATTCATCAAAATCTAATTATTTAATCACATGGCCCTTCCAAAGATAGCCTGACAGAGGCAACTATTAAAGTTACATGTACTAAAATACCACATGCTCTACTTCTTCATACAGTACACACATGTGTCTCTATTTGTATACATATATATGTATTTGGATCAATATAATGAAAAAGTAATCTCAATGATACAATCATCTTTTGAAATTTTGACTTTTTCAGTATCTAATAACATGTGCATGCAAATGACAATAAGGCAAGTAATGCATTACTGTAATTGCGATCTATTAACAGAAACATCCGTTAAACTCGGAGCTACACAAAATTAATTTAATTTCCCCACCATGATCTGTTGACTCGTATTCAATATAAACAGCATTAGTTCAAATCAAACTGTATCTCTTAACCTACATACAGTTAGCCTAGTTTTACCAAATCATCCTTGTTTCACGCTTAAGCCATTGTGACACCTATCCAATACAAGTGGCCTCCTTTTGTATTATTCAGCCGCCCGGTGAATTAGTAGATCATATCTATATTGTGTCATTGTGTCAATGTGTGCCTGTGGAGGCAGTCAATAAATTGAATATTTCATGTAATATCTTGATGGACACACATGGGAGTTTTTAAGTGATATCAAATAAGGCCATGATGACATGAAGGGGGAAAAATGAAATTCCCTACTTTTCCAGTAAACTGATTATCCATGAAGGTTCATTTATAAATATGTTATTTTCATCTGTCTTTCAAAGGAAAGAGGACAGAGTGAAAGGAAACGTGTATCATAATGGACAAAATATCATTATTTCAAAGCATTGACTGCATAATAACACTGTGCTTTACAAATTTGAAGGACATTCAAGTAATGACTAATGAGAATAAAGGTGAAGTGATTCTCTTTCTACCATCAAAATGCTAATCCCAATGCAGATGGCTTATTGAAAATAATGGGCTCTACAAAAATGTAATAATAATGTTTAAAATGCTAATATTTCATGTAATATCTTGATGGACACGTGGGAGTTTTTATGTGATATCAAATAAGGCCATGATGACATGAAGGGGGAAAAATGAAATTCCCCACTTTTCCAGTAAACTGATTATCCATGAAGGTTCATTTATAAATATGTTATTTTCATCTGTCTTTCAAAGGAAAGAGGACAGAGTGAAAGGAAACGTGTATCATAATGGACAAAATATCATTATTTCAAAGCATTGACTGCATAATAACACTGTGCTTTACAAATTTGAAGGACATTCAAGTAATGACTAATGAGAATAAAGGTGAAGTGATTCTCTTTCTACCATCAAAATGCTAATCCCGATGCAGATGGCTTATTGAAAATAATGGGCTCTACAAAAATGTAATAATAATGTTTAAAATGCTAATATTTCACGGTAACATTTATCAGATGAGCCATCCACTGTTCCAGTTTTCAACGATATCCATTTTATGATATTTTTGAGTCACTAATCGCCCTAAGATTAAAACAGTGATATCCTTCCACTGCTGTTCTGATGTAATATTGGAAATGTTAATCTTTTGATTCAATTTGTATGCAGCTGGGATCAGTACTAGGCTCCTCGACATCCTACTTGATCTGATTTATTTTATACTGACCATTCGTTGATCATTTTTTGAGTGACAATGTTGCTGTCCACATTTAAATCACTACTTATGTTATCACTCTCTTTCATCATCAAATTGGCAACATATTATACCAGTAGTTATTTTTAGGATTTGGGACAGGAGGCCATTTGCTCAATCCATTTTATTTTTTGCTTTGATTTAAAAATCTATTGACTGGGCATGAATATCAAAAGTTCTTGAAAATCATGATTCATACAGCTGTGTAAAATGTATATTAATTGACCTGATTTATACTGACCATTTATTGATCATTTTTTGAATGACAATGTTCCTGTCCACATTAAAAATCCCTACTTATGTTATCACTCTCTTTCATCATCAAATTGGAAACATATTATAGGTATTTTTAGGATTTGGCAGGAGGCCATTTGCTGAAGCATTTTTTTTTTTTGCTTTATTTAAAAAAAATATATAGACTGGGCATGAATATCAAAAGTTCTTGAAAATCATGTTTCATACATCTGTGTAAAATGTATACTAATTGACCTGATTTATTACAGCCTTTCATTCAGCATGTTTCTTATAATGATATTCATTTCTCACATTAATCTAACATTTGCTTAAATCATATTTGGGGTCTATTTTACGACTGGGGTTGCTTGTCCACATGTGTATGCCTACTTCCTTTCTTAGCAGTCAGGTACGACAAATTATAAATCAATCAATCAAGCAATTAGTCAATTAATCTCAATCAGTCAACACATGTACATGTATCTATAATATATCATATATATTTCTATCTTTCTATATATATATATATATATATATATATATATATATATATATATATATATATTATATATATATCTGTCTGTCCGTCTGTTTGTCTATCTGTCTGGTTATATATCTCTCTGTCTGTCTATCTATTTGTGTCTATCTATCTGTCTGTCTGTCTGTCTATCTGAGTCTGTCTATCTATCTGTCTGTCTGTCTATCTGAGTCTGTCTATCTATCTGTTTCTTTCTGTCTGTCTGTGATCTGTCTGTCTGTCTGTCTGTCTGTCCATCTCTCTGGTTGTCTATCTATCTGCCTGTCTATATATCTGTGTCTGTCTGTCTATCTGTATCTATCTGTTTCTTTCTTTCTTTCTTTCTTTCTTTCTTTCTGTCTGTCTGTCTGTCTGTCTGTCTGTCTGTCTATATATACATATATCTATCTATCTATCTATCTATCTATCTGTCTATTTATCTTTTTTTTTAATTCATTTACTTATTAAAATCAAAACAAAACTTACCTTGTTTGGCATGTGAAGTGGGACTCCTTTCTTCAGAAATGCCAGGGCAGTCTCGGGGTGACCGCACTGTGATGCAATATGCATGAGTGTGCTGCCATCTTTGGTCCGAGCAGAGACATTTGCTTTGAACTTATCAACGAGGAGCTCCACGACCCCGGTGTTACCATTCTCAGCTGCTATGTGCAGAGGTGATCTATCAAGCTGGATAAAAAAAGGGGATAAAGGAGATTCTTGGTTTAGGTAAACTTTAGAAAATGAAATGGAATGTAAAGAAGTATGCATGACACAAAGGCCACGATTGTTGAAATTCCTACTTTAACCGAACAGAGAGAGAAAAATCATGATATTGAATGGTGGAAGAACACAAAAGAGAACAGAAATGATGGAGTAGACCTCTCCCTCCCCCCCCCTCCCCCCCCCCCCAAAAAAAAAAAGAATAATAAGAACAAAGATAATAAAATATATTTACCAAGAAGAAAGAAGTGAAGGATGAAAAGAACATGGGAAACACAATAATTTCAAAATAGAGGAATAGAACAATAGGGAGCAATAAAATATATTCATAACAGGAGAAATAGAGAATAAGAGATGTATCAACAAAACAAAGAAATGAAAAGCTGGTTATAGATATTTTCAACAAAAATGACCGAAAAAAATTGCTTTAAAAAAAGGGGTTAAAAAAACGAGTTGGAAAATATTAGCAAATGGGCACATAAATATCTGTTGTTATTGTGGGGGGTAACTTATTTTATCTTCCCTCAAGTATTAGGAGATAATGTATGCATGTCTATGCCACTTAAAGCCCCACTGCACTACTTATAGCTACTTGTGCCCTCTATACAGCAAACAATGCCTACCCCATGGTCCCCTTATGTTTTATGTTAATTGAGAGCTGATTTGATGAGATAACAACCTGCCAGTGACCATATGAGAAAGTCTAATCCCTCCTGGCCAAACTAGTGCAGATAGGAATAAAAGGCCAACTGTACTAGTTCGGCCAGAAGGGATTAGACCACCCAGCAAGGTCACTGACAAGCGGCTATCTCATCAACTCAGCTCTCAATTAACATACTATAAGAAAAAGAGGATCATGGGGGACCAACAGGCACCGATTTGGGAAGTTTTCTATATAGAGGGAGCAAGTAGTACAGTGGGGCTTTAAGAAGAAAAAATTAAAGAGGAATGGGGAGAGACAACAATAACAATAAAAAGGCACGAATAGACAGATTTGACATGACTAACCTTGTCGTAGATGTTAGGGTTGGCTTTCATCTGATATAGATACTTCAGTGCATTCTCATCCCCAGACATGGCTGATATATGAAGCGCTGTATGACCGTCTTGCTGTGAGGGACGTAGCAAATAAACACTGCCCGTCAATCAAAAAACTTTTAAAACATTCCTTTCAGAAAGACCGAGAACTTTCAAGAATAATCTTGTCTTCTGTCATATTACATCTCGAGACGCCACAAGTATGATCTGTCTGAATTAATGGTTCTTCTTCAAAATTTAAATAAAAAGGTTTGAAGGGCAGCAAAATGTTGAAGCAAAATTATGTTCAAAGCAAATTTCCCCACCAAATAAATGGATCTTTGTACAAATTCAATTTCAAATTTGGTTTCTCCTAGAATAAAAGGAAAAAAAGTTTGTCAAACTCTAGTCTGAAATCAAGCTTTATTAATAGGTTGTAACTCCCACTTGGAATCTGTCCTGAATTTTGTTTTCAATCTTTCCTTTTTTGGGGGGGGGGGGGGGAGGAAGAGGTTGTGTGACAGTAGGTAGAGCCTCTGTTTATGTCAAGATTTGATCGGTAAACCTAATCAGTCTCCTGTAATTAAATCAATCAGACAAATGCTGTAGAATTTTCTACCAGTGCTCATAGAAAACAATTGTAGCAATACTACATCATTACAACAAAACAAATCATAATAATGATAATAATACTCAGTTCTTTTATAGTGCATAACACATTACAGGGTAGGATGTCACTATGCGCATATCCCTATGCATTTACAATGTACATTACTCTAATCTATTTCCAATTTTCCAATTTCCAATTTCAAATTATCCAATTTCAAATTGCCAATTTCCCAATTTTCCAATTTCCAATTTCCAATTATCCAATTTCCAATTTTCCTGTGGTCCACACATATGTATACTTACATTCTGTATATCCACAGGGCTCCCATTATCGACAAATGATTTAATGATATCTAGATCTTTCTTTCTACAAGCTAAATGAAGGACTGTATCTCCATCCTCATCTCTGGAATGCTTTAACTGCTCCTCCTTGAAGTTTGAGAGAAGCTCCTTGCAGACAGCAATGTTGGATGCTTGGACGGCCAAGAAGAGAGGTATCGAACCATCCTACAAGAAAGAAAAAGAAAGGGAGAGAATTTAGCAGAAGGTTGGCACAACTTCCTTTCCTTTTTTCTTGAAAAATAAATACATTAAATTTCAATTATTATTGGCATATTCTAACGTCATGTAACATGTTAGATGCTTGGACCGCTAAGAAGAGAGGTATCGAACCATCCTACAAGAAAGAAAAAGAAAGAGAGATAATTTTAATAGCAGAAGCAGGTCTATTGGGGGAGGGCTTGGGATTCTTGCACTCACTTTAGACCGACCGACCGACCCATGTTTTGGCTCCTATAGGGCAATATAACATTTTTTCTTTGTAAGGCCTTATACAAGTGTCTCAATAACTCCTCAAGATATGTTACTGGAACTTAGTCTTTGAAGTTTGAGAAATGTTATTTGCATACTGCAATGAGGGATACTTGGACTACTAGGAAGATAGGGGACTGGGAGAAGGTGAGAAAGAGCTGAAAGATGGATAGAGACAGACAGATAGATAGATAGATAAAAAGAGATGGAAAGAGAGGGAGAGAGAGAAAAGGAAAGGATTACCAGCAAGATACAAACAACTTGGATATTGACTTCAAGAAGTGCAAAAGACTGGGAGAAAGGAAAGAAAGAGCCGGCAGATGGAATAGATACATGTAGAAGGAGTGAGATAGACAGACAGACAGAGAGATAGATAAATAGATAGATAAAGAGATGGAAAGAGAGAGAGAGATAAAAAGGGAAAAGATTACCAGTGAACAGATACAAATATTAACTTCAAGAAGTGCAAAAGTGTAGAACCTCTACAAAGTTCAGCCTCTTCCAAGAAAATTATATTTTTTTTTGTATCAACCAACTCTTCATGATGAAGGGTATATCTCAAAATACACATATTTTCTGCTGACTAAACACCATTTTTATTTCTAAATCAGATTATTTGGAGTCTAATATTAAATGTGATAGCTAGTGCCTCTCTATAAATAAACTGCAAATTATAGGGTGGCAAATTATGGGGTGCCAGAAAAGTCACAAATTATAATCCAAAGGTTGGCACAACTTCTTTCCCTTTTCCTTAAAAACACATACATTCAATTTCAATTGTTATTGGCTTAATCTAACGTCATGTAACAGAGAATAATCTTTTTGAATTTTAAATCATGAGTAATTTCTAATCATAAGGGATCCCATACCATGTGGTGACAATTGGATAACCTAGATTATGATAGTCCTACACTAGAAATTGCAATGGATTACAGATGCTGCTATATTTCCAATCTGAGCTTATCGCTGATCAATTAGAAACATAATATTTGTCCAATGTAAACCTGCGGAAGATCATGTGGCCTTCCTAACATTGATTAGTGTCTGTCTGCAAAGATATGTTTCTGGCTAAATACAGGTTTGTGGGCCTCCTGGCAAAACAGTCCTCTCTATTTTGGGTAAGCGATCAGAATGTTCCAGGGTTATCAATCGTTAGCTACATGCCCTTTCACATTGCAGAAAAACTCATTTGAAAAATGTTGGTTTGTTCAACTACCATCTACTCTACTGTAAAACCCATTGGTGTATCATATTTTTTTTTTTTTTTTTTTTTTTTTTTTTTGGGGGGGGGGGGGCGGGTTTTGCACTTGCCCCACATTTCGCTGTTCTCCAGGGCAGGGAAGCAAGAAGAGTCATGTGACCAAAAACCACAATAATTCACAGGTGTTTAGAGTGCAAGCGTTTACACTGAAAAAACCTGTGAAGTTTCAGGTGGCGTGGAAAAACCCTCTACAGAGTTGGGTTTTTAGAGTTGGGTAGTTTCTGACAAAACTCCAGAATGTGCAAAACCAATGTTTTTGCTTGCAGTCTAAATGACTCTACTAATGATACATCCGATAAGAGCTAGATGGGGATAAACCATGAAGGTTTAACCTATCTTGGCATTTCATTTAGATGTGTATAGAACTAGAAATTTATTAAACCCAATGACTACTAAATTTGACAGGATTAATACAGGAACTACCTAATTTCTGTAGAAATTAGACAATGGTCATGGTTACTAGACTTACCAGTATTGTCCATCCCCGCCCCCACACACACCCCTACCCAACCCCTTCCCCCTGGATTTATAAAGTGATGTCCTCTTAGCCCTGAATAACCCCAAAAAATATTCTAAATGTAATGTCACTCTAAAAATCCCATATTCCAAAAGTAGCAGAGTGATCACGCCACATTTTTCATACTTATACTCACACTTGATCTCAACATTCTCAATGCTGAAGTGAGGCCATTATTTCTAATCAGCTGTTCACAAAAAGGGGGTAAGAACTAGATGCATGTACTGTCAATGGAAATATTCACCTTTTAACAGGCAGCTGAAGATTTATGGAGCATATAATTTATTTCTCTATGCACAAGTGACATTGCAGTATGAAGCTCCAAAAGGGACAGAATTACATGATGTTTTATAAGGTCAATTTCATATTTTCCCATGAATAATTTTCAGGATAAGAGAAAGATGATGATGATGTAATGTGTGCTCAAGCTTGTCTGATATATAGGCCATAAAGTAATATTTCAATTGAACATATTTTCCCAGGAAAGGAAAAGAGAGTTAATGATTATAAGAATATAGCTTTGATTAGAAATACTTCAAATGCCATAGTTTCATGACAATTTAAAGCATGATAAATCATGATTATTGGTCTCTAGGATCAGACAAGGTATTTTCATAAAGTCCACACATGATTATGATCAACTCAAGTTTTAAGACAATATGGACTTCTGCCAGTGTCCATAAATACACACATAAATTATGAGTGATACCACATCATGGAGAGGGAGAATGAGAGAGAATGAGAGAAAGAGAGAGAGAGAGAGAGAGAAAGAGAGAGGGGGGCCTCGGAGGGGGGAAGACAGGGATAAGCAGAGGGCGGAGAGAGCAAGAAATTCAGGGAAAGTACAAATTTGCTCAGATGGACAGAATAGAAATTGCTTGTTACTTCAAACTAAGAGAAAAGTGGGACCGAAAATGCAAAAGCACTTCAAGAAATACCAGAAATGCACAAAATATCATACACATGTATAGGCCTAATAAAATACTTGTATCAACATGAACTATTGGTTGATATATTGTCACTTCATTACATGTAGCCGCAATAGAAGATAACATATTAACTGCAGTATACCTCAATGCTACTGTTTGACTGAGTCTGGGACATGTTAACTATGAACTATACTTGGTATGTGACACTGCCCTCGGCAACAGATATGCTAGACTCGATTCTAATTACAATTAATACCACCTTCCTATACATTACTATATCGTCGGTGGGTTGACAAAACCTCGTATCTCAAAAATCATGAATTTTCAGGAGAGCGAAAAAACTTCAACAAATTTAGTGCTGTGACACAGTCCTTTTTAAAACTGGAATATTTACAATTTTTAATGTCATTGTTGAAATACAGTAAAATAATTGTTTTTATATTTGAAAGTGAGTTACGAGGTTTTTGCATTTATCTACATTGAGATACAAGTTTTTAGTTTGTATTCAAATTGAGATACGAGTTCTTACTTTCAACTCTGAATGAGTTACAAGGATTTGGTTGAATAAGTTACGAGGATTTGAATACACTAACTTCGGTACTGATAGGCCGTGGGTGAGTTACGAGGAAAAGGAATTACGTATCTATGTTACGAGGTTTTGTCAATGCAGCTTCAAAGGGGGTTAAAGTTACGAGGTTTAGTTTAAGGGTGTTTGTGTGGAATTTGTGAAAAAACCGAGAAGGAGGCGTTCCATGGATTTATCAGGTGGTGTCGTAGGCCGTAGGCCATTAGGTACAAAATTATGCAAAAAAATCAAAATCTCAAAAAATCGAGATACGAGGTTTTGTCACCCCACCGACAATATGTTACTGTCTGAATTCAAAAACATCATTCAAGTAGTCAAAAAATTAATTGAACCATGTTTACGAGGCCTAGGCCCTATATCTTTTTTGAGGTAGAGTTTATCATAGTTGAATCTTGTCAAATGAAATTGGAAGAGATGGTGATGATATCAAAATGAGCAAATGGAGATCTGTAACATTGTTAAGTTGGATGTTACTCACACACAGGTAAACTCAGAGGAAAAATACTTTGGGGGGGGGGCTACTTTTCAAGCTTGCTTGCATGAAAATAACACTCTTTACTTTGTTTTGCATTTAACTCTATGCAAAGTTGTCACTGGGTAAACTTCTGATATATTAGCCAGTTGCAGACTATTAAAGAGCCAAGATGAATACAAGGATGATATGCATCATTCTGAAATGCATGATAAATCATATTGTTTCAAAAAAGTTAAGGGGGGTCAGAAACTCTAGACATGTTTCAATATTTAAGCTGTTAAATACATGTATGTGATTTTTTTTTATAATTTTTTTTAAAATGAGCAACAAAAATTAGAAGGGGAGGGGGAACTCAAATCTTAAAGCTAGTTAGTGATTCATAATAAAAAATTAGGAGAATTGTCAATGACTGCATTCCAATCCACGTATTTGTAGAGATTTAGTGATCTCATAGTTCAAACATTCATAAAGTCTCTTTTAGTATTGGTTCGATTTATTTCACCATTCTGTTTCTCTCAATTTTCTGTTTACCTACAAATGAACTTGGATCACTCTTTAATAATGTACCATTATCATATGAATGGTAGCAAGCCTAGGACCTTCATCTTCGTTTACGAGGAAATTCGGTGAAAGTGAATAAAGAAACTCTGGTGTAAAAGTGACATGATTTTGAACATGATATATAGACACCCCACATGGTCATGTTCAGCTCCATCAACTCTAGATGACTGAACAGCGGAGGTAACCATAGGGAACAGATGAGGTCAAAGGTCATTTCAAACTCGCTATTATAAGGCAATGAGGCACATCAAAAATTCTTTGTGAATATTCTTTATTTTCTCTCTTAAAGGTAAGGACCAATATTGGAAACGCCCCAATTTCAAAAAATGAAATGGAAGCTCTCATTACCAATCGTGTGAAAGAATATGTTTTGACTAATACATGATGATAAAAAATTTGCCGGGAAACCGCCTACTAATTCATATATTTGGTAAATTTGTTTCTCTCATGGTCTGTGAGAGATATAGGGTAGTCCCATATACATCTTTCTGTGTATAGTGCTTGTAACTTTACGAAAAATGGGCCAAATTTCTTATCATTTTGATGATTCCAGAACCTTGCAAATTCTAGATGCTAGATGATCAACCTTTTCTGATCGATTCCACTACGTTTCTTTCACAATGCAATCGCATGACCATAACTGGTCTTTACCTTTAAAGGTAATACAAAGTTTTGGGAAATTTTGAAAATTGGGTGGATAGTGAATCTTTACAATTTTGATATATTTGGATGCCCCTGTGGATGAATTATAAACACTAACAAAATTAGCCTCTAAAACACTTCTGTTTTCGAGAAAAATTGAATATAAAAATTTACCCGTGCTCCCGGTAAATTTTGATAAATTTCAAATAGCGCCTATGGCCGTACAGTGGTAGCTGCGACCATGAAAATCTCAGAATATGTAGTTGTGATATATAATTCCCAAACGGGAATAGCTAATCGGTCGATTTTAGTCAAGAAACATTGTTTCAAAGCTAAAGTAATATCTTGACCTTGAGAGGGAGCTATACAACATAAAGAGTTTATTGTTTATAATTTCATAACTTCAGACTCGATTTCAACCGAGACAACGATCAATGAATATTGTAGGAACGCATATGCTTCCAATATTTTAATTTGAACCAAATTCATGACCCCATACAAAAAACTTTGTAATACCTTTAAAAATACACACAAGACATAAAAGTTGATAAATCCGGTTTTCTATCATTATGGCCGATTGCAAGACTTGAATAAGATCAGTCTTCTATGGGTATGAACTTGTGATTGAAGTTAGAACAATAGTCTTGAATGCATTTCAGCTTTGAAAGGAAGTAATGAAACTGTAAATGTTCATAACTGCAAACTGCCAAACAATGATAGCTCATTTGAACTATTTAGGCTATTAATTTGTTCAATATTTAACTTTTGGGTAGGTGTTTTGTAAAGGCTGTAACATTCAAGATATTTTCATTTCTTTACTGCTCATCTGTCTAATAAATAATGTTGGTCAATTCACTTCGGGGGTGGGGGAGCAGGCCTTTAAATACATGAAGCAAAGAAAATACAGCAACATTCATGTATTCATGTATAATCCTATTTTATATAACCCACAAAAGGCACAAATATGTTTACCACTATATGAATCATGTGATTGAAGTGTATGGTAATGATGTGGAGCACATGAGGTCAAAGGTCAGCATTGAATGACTACATTATGATGGTGATGTGACACGACCAATTACTAAGCACCAGCTTATCTACTCTATCTAGCACCATACAAACTGGGGTATATACATATGTACTTCATATCACTTTTTGGGGAGAAAAGCTAGTCAACGAAAAACGGTGTGTACTTTTTGGTCAGTTTGTTTGTTTCTTTCTTTCTTTCTTTCTTTATTTTTGTTTGTTTTTGTTTATTTTTGTTCATGTTCGCTTGTCAGACAATACTGGGGCGAAAAAGGTACAGACATAGCGTAAATCTCTGCACCCCCAGCAGAAATAGTCATAACTCAATATATGCTCAGTGGGCCAAGTCCATTCAGAAGAGAGGACAGAGGGTCAAGCATTTATGACTGAACAAACAATATTGTTGCCATGGTAACGAGTGATATTGAGGTCGTGTGAAAGGTCAGTGGTGGTATCACAGGTGTCTAGGGGATCAGGATTGTACCTGTCATATGAAGTGGCTATTCAAATATTGTGTATAGATATATATGTATCAAGGCCTATATCAAATATTTTTATTTCAGAAGAGTACAAACTTGCTCTTTTTCTTGTTGCTTGCGGGAGCACTTTCTGGACTTATTGTCGCAAAAGTGAGATTTCACTGTGGCAATTTTTATGTTTACAATTATTTAAAGCCTGTCTGCACTATTTTGGCCAGGGGGATTATACCTCTCTGCAAGGTCACTGACAGGTGGTTATCTCATCAAATCAGCCCTCAATTAACATCAGAAAAAGAGGATCATGGGGGACCAACAGGCATCGATAAGCCATTGTTTGGTATATAGAGGGCGCAGGTAGCTGTAAGTAGTGCAGTGGGGCTTTAATGTAATACAATAACTCATTCTTAACTCCCCTGAGCTCTTTCAGACCTTTCCAGAACCTTTTTTTAAAACTTTTCCTAAGTATTATTATTTGTATTTTTATTATGTGCTGTATTACACAAGTTCAATATCTTCTTCTCGTCAATATCTTCACGATCACTGACTATAATTTCAAAAGTTTGTCAACACATCTTGAGCTTCGAAGACCTCATTTCACACTTAGATATAAATTGGAATAAATTAACTCTATATCTGCCACTATTTAAATGTATTATCCCTTTGCCATCGACATTTTCTGCATGATATTTTCAGCAAGAGATTCAAGTTTATTTCTAAATATCCCTGATAAAGCTACAACAAACATATGATAACAGGGCTGCTAGGTAACCAGTAGGACTGGAAATTGGTAAAGCCAAAGTAATTGATTGACAATTTATGATCTTGTTTAGTGTGCGACTCTTTCTGTACTAAACTAATCAACACTTCTGACAAGCCAACAATTGTGCCATTTGGCATGTACATGTATTGAAAATGAAAGGTTAACACAAAAATGAAAATGAGACTACATCCACAATGATATGCATTATATGCAGACAATTAAATAGGAAAAAAAGAAGTGAAGGAAAAATGAGAAAAAAAGAAAACAAACTTTTAAAATGTCAACAGGGTTAAAAGGAAACTGATGTGAACAGAGCCAAGATTATCATCACTTGTCATAACTAATCCCTTGAACAGCTTTCATACATGGGAACCTGTCAAGGTTCATTTACTCCAGGTACATGATTGGCCAATTTCTCTCAAATCTTCCACCAGCGCTAACCACTCAAATTACTCCCTCGCTCTACGATTTGAAGATACAGGTAGGCTGACCCAGAACACAGTGCACTCGCATGTCCCCTCACATAGTTCTTGTTTCTTATAAAACTATGCAAACCATAAGTTATTAATTATTAAGATTATGTTTATTGACAAACAATCATATTAAAGTAAAAGTGAGTGGGTAAAACTTGACAAGTCAGTGAAAGTACTCTAGACCTATTACAAACAACCTTGACACCTTGCCGTTTCCACTATTGTATGTATCCCTGGCACTATCAAACAGAGGAAGGGCAATTTGTTTTAGGTTAAAATATGCCATGTTTCTAATTCTGAGGTGAATGAGCACTGGGAGGAAAGTGACAATTAATGAGAAAATCTCATATCAAAAACAGGGAAAGATGATGTCATACAAATATATGAGATTAAAAGAAAAAGAAAGAGAGAGGATAAGTGAAGACAAGGGAGATACATGTAGCTCTAGGGAGAGTGCCAAGAAAGGCAGCAAGAAGAAGATAAAAACCACAGTAAGAGAGAGAGAAAGGGAGAGAATAAGTGAAGACAAGAGAGATAGAGAGAGATCCAAGAAATCCAGCAATCAGAAGATAAAAACCACAGTAAGAGAGAGAGAAAGGGAGAGAGAAAAGGAGAGAGAAAGGGAGAGAGAAAGGGAGAGTGAAGGATGATGATAGAGACATGACAGTAAGACAAAGGGAGTTGACATGATAGATCACTAATCACATGTATTAAATGTCTTGCATCCCACGGGTATCATTTATGAAGTAAAGCAGCGAGACAACCATTTCAAAAACTGAAAAGCATAATTCCATGGAAGGAATGATCAGATTGAAGAGATTTTTGGTCACCTGATTCCCATGCTTACAATGTACAATTATGCTCCACCCTTGTTCCAAATCAATTAACAATTGATCTTTAATTGGAATGTATATAAACCAATAAACTACTTTCAAGATTTCAAACACATTCTTATTTGCACATTGACTGTTAAAGGCAAGAACGTGTTCCTCTTCCGTTAGTAACAATATCAACACTTCAATATTTAAATTTAAACAAATGGAAAACAAAGTGCAATGTATTTACATATAAAAGATAGCAAATATAACAGTTGTAATGTTATAACAGTCTAGGTGAGACATTTCAAAGAAGCTTCCAAAATATAAGGTGTTGACTGTTGCAATGTCAGTGACTTACCGCATCTTTGGCAAGGCGTGCCTCTCTGCCTGAAATGCGTAGGAGTTGTTGAACCAATGTCAGACCCCCGCTGCTTCTCGTCGCGGCCATGTGTAAGGGAAGCTGCTGCAGAAACTAGAAAGGTGACAAGAAAAACAAACATAGTATATATCGGCAATCATCGTCAAAATGGCAGCTAGGATTTGGAGAAGATTGAAGAATGATGATACCTTTCATGTCGAAGAACATTTATGTTGTTAACATTGGTTTAAACAATGTTGCTCTCATAGCAACTTGGCAACTTTTTCAAAAAGAAAGAAATTGATTTATCTTTAAAAAAACTTTTAAAAAACATTATACTGCATATTTATGTATAATTTCTATTTCATAACTTTAAACCATTTAAAATGTATTATATTATTGAATGTTGAATGTATATCTGATTTCTTGTCAAAATTACTGTTCTGTTGGAATGAAAAATAAAAAGGAAACTAAAACTGAATGTATTGATTTATTAATTTATTTAATAACTGATTTATTTGTTGTTGTTTTTTTCATTTAGAGTTACACCAGGGTGGCTTCACTAGTGATTTGGACCCTGTTTTAATTTTTAAGAGGCTTTGAAAATTAATAAATACAATATAAAAACAGTATAATATGAGATATATATACAAACAAAACATGATCAAACAAACAATAAAAATAGTGTGACGTTGTTCATCTTTTTGGGTTGGATCGCCCTTTATCCAGAAACAACTAAAGCTGTGATATACAGTATAAAAAATGCATATGGTATACATGTGTACCCAAAAAAATGAATCACATTAATGGGGCAACCATTAGTTCAACGACGTCATTGTACAAGTACTATTAAGAATATATAAAATGATTAAAGAGTTTACACAGTTACATTTAGTTAACAGTAGCTATAACAATGAGATAACGAGAAGTGTTATGATCTTTGTCATGCTATTGCTATGGTACTATGCAAACATGTAGTCCGAGACGATATTTAATCTGGCGGTACTCAAACTGATTACAATGTAAACATATACACAACTGGTGCTTATTCATTGAGTACTATAAGCTCCCAAAATACACACTTAGTCCTATGTAATTCATTATGTAGTCATGTATCTAGGCACAATAAACAGTTGTTTCAGAGTTTGCACTTGGATTTAGAAGTTGAAATTAGACTTTTTTAGATTTCTAATGCCAGGGTTTTCACATTATTTGCTGAGAGCGATAAGGAAGTTAAAGGTAAAGACCAGTATTGGAAACGCCCCAATTTCAAAAAATTGAATAGAAGCTCTTATTACCTATGTTGTGAAAGAATATGTTTTGAATAATACATGATGATAATAAATCTGCCGGGGGAAACTGCCTACTATTTGATATATTTGGTAAATTAGTTTATCTATTGGACTGTGAGAGATAAAACGCACATGTCGCGCACGTGTGCGTATTCCAAAATACATCTTTCTGTGTACAGTGCTTGTAACTTTATGAAGACTGGGCCAAATTTCTTATCATTTTGATGATTCCAAAACCTTGCAGTACATCTATGCTAGATGATCAACCTTTTCTGATCGTTTCTTTCACAATGCAATCGCATGACCATAACTGGTCTTTATCTTTAACTCAAATGATATGAGTTGTACCCTCCGGGCTATGAGCAGATAATAAAATGTAGTTTTTTAATTGAAGTAAATCTGTCGTCTATGCCTTAGAATATAAGGAAAAATACTGAAACATTTGAAAACAAGTTATCAATGTTTAAACTTAATAAATTGCAAAAATAGTATGACAACTACATTTATGATTTTAGTGTGATACAATTGAACCCTAAACTACCCTCCACATTCTTTCACTTCCTATAGTAACCCCCACAGAGCATATTCTTGTGAGTTTATGAAAGAAATATTTTTCAAAGTTTATCAACACTTGATCACTAGAAATGGCACAGGAATTTCCACAAACTGAATTTGTCTTTCAACTTGTACACACTTCACTGGCAGCTAGTGTCAGCCAGTGCCTTCTTCTCGGTCATGAACCACTGTCTACCTTTGTGTGAATTTCTAAAGTTTACCTATGCTGGACCCACATGGCGGAGATCGAGGCAAAGTCGACAGGAGTTTTGTAAACAATGGGGAAGAGAACTAAATATACTTGATTTGTCAGATCGACGTGTATTCATCGGTAGTTAAACCTACATACCGTAGAAGAATAATGGCAGTCCCTGCGTTGCTGTGCCATGGCAACGAGAAGCAGATATAATAGAAGTCATGCAAGAGTGGGGTTGTTGGATCAATGCAAAAAATTTCATGTGGATAGAGCTCTGAATGAAATTAATTAAGCGTGTAGCGACACATAAAGGGTGAAGTTCAACTTGTACAAACTTGGAAGAGTTATTACTGTAATAAAGAGGCCATGTGTCCATCACGGAACGATATTAATAAAACATTGTAGTTTAATTGTGTTTGATTAAAGCTTTGTATTTCATGTGGATTTCGTGAGCAATAACAGATCAATGTTTGTTTACTAGCAACTCTTTTATACTGTTTCAGCCTGATACTGTTTGTGATTAAACAACTTCAAATTCTACACAACTCTCAAACACATTGAATTACTGATTGTCAGAACTTTATTTCTTTTTAGTTATATTTATGCAATTGGCCACAACCTTTCTTGCAACAAGCCTCTGAAGATCTAAGACTTTACATCATATCTACAGGACGGTAACTGAATCGAAATACCAAGAATAAATCCTACAAATTAATAGCCATTTATAACTTAGTCAAGAGAGACAACCACAGATACTGCGTACCTTAAGACCTGGAATTACCAACTTTTGAAAAACCAAGATATAAGTGTATGCAGTGCACCCATGGCATTCAAAATTGGGGACAATAAAATGACGGTGAAATACAAATTCAAAAAAAAAAAATTGAAAATGTTATTACTTGGGCTTGATTCACTTATTTTGCTGCATGAAACTTTGAAGAATCTCATCATTCATGAATTTATCTGTTCACAGCCAGCAGGGCATTAACTTTGTCAATCCAACCCTTTGGTTGCTATGAATAAATAAACGAATATATGTGTTAAAGTATACTGTATGTGTTTAAGGTAAAGACCACTTATGGTCATGCGATTGCATTGTGAAAGAAACGTTGTGGAATCGATCAGAAAAGGTTGATCATCTAGCATCTAGCATCTGCAAGGTTCTGGAATCATCAAAATGATAAGAAATTTGGCCCATTCTTCGTAAAGTTACAAGCACTATACACAGAAAGATGTATATGGGACTACCCTATATCTCTCACAGACCATGAGAGAAACAAATTTACCAAATATATGAATTAGTAGGCGGTTTCCCGGCAAATTTTTTATCATCATGTATTAGTCAAGACATATTCTTTCACATGATTGGTAATAAGAGCTTCCATTTCATTTTTTGAAATTGGGGCATTTCCAATACTGGACTTTACCTTTAACTCCGTTCTGGCTCCAAACAGATGAAAAATACAGAAATGTTGGTTTTTATATACATGTAGTAGATGCCTTGAGGATTTAACCCTAATCCTAACCCTATACGTTTTATGAAATAATCCTTGAGCGAATGTCCGAGCACCAATTGCTTACCCCTCCTTGGACAGTAGCATCTGCTTTCTTGAGTACCATAAGCTTCATCATGTCATCCTTAGCTGAGGTCGCTGCAAAGTGAATCGCTGCACGACCATCCTGGACAGAACAAAAGGGAAGAGAGAGAGATAAAAAAGAAAAATTATATATCAAATAATAATAGCTAGTTCTTATATAGCGCTTTTCAGGACCAATGGCCCTCTCAAAGCGCTTTACGGATATTGTTACGCCGGTAATCGGATTTCAAGCTTACCCGCAATCAATATATGCACATTTTCCAGCCAGGCGTCATTTTTACAAGCGCACACTTGCTAATCTAAGCACATTAGCTTTGGCATCCTACCGGGTACCCATTTAACACCTGGGTGGAGAGTGGCAAATGTAGTCAATGTCTTGCCAAAGGACATTAGTGCTGTGGTAGGACTTGAACCATGGACCTTGTGATCCACAGTCCACTGACATCCACAAGCTTCAAGTATGATTGTAAGTCATTATCAATTCAAATGATAATGTGAATCAAGAAATAAATTATAATACTGATTTTTGTCACCCGTTTGTAAGAAGGCTGATCGACATTACAGCCATTGACAATATATGTAGGTCTTACGGCCCTATTCCTGGCAGCCTATGTTATGAGGTACAGCTTGACCTTTTTTTCAAATGATAATGATAATAGGAAGTCAATCTACAAAGCAGAGAATGCAAAAGGCTGTTAAACCATGTTTGCAGACACTATTACTATCGTCATTATCACTCCTTCACATGCACACGCACACAAATAAACAAACACACACATCCACTCACCCACACCCACACAAGGTGTACATCATATCTCTTCAGCAATGAGTGTTGCCATCCCATCATCCCCTCCCCCCCCCCCCCCCCCCATATTAATCCTCGGTATAGAGAGGTAAAAATAGACTAATGTCTTGAATAGAGACATTAGAGTGATGCTAGGGCTGCAATATCCACATTTCCAGTCACAGGTTCAAACACTTGACTCTACATGATCTTTCCAATCCCTCCCCCCCCCCCCCCCAAAAAAAAAAAAAAAAATGATAATAATAATAATAATAAAAATAAAAGGAAGTATCAAGCACTGCATCAGCTCAAGTCTTTCTTTCATCTCTAGTTTGTCGGGCAGTTGTGGAGTTCACAGAGCAAAGTCATGCCACCGATGCCAATAAAATTTCTTTCAAAAGAGTATTTCGTGATTAATAATGGAGGAATAAAGATCCTTGTGTGATATTGTAGTACCAATGAATCAAATGTTTAGACATCCAGTCTCCCAATCTTCAATTTAGAATCACCAAGGCATTCATTTACGACAAGGTCTATTACGCCTTTATACTTCTCAACCATCCATTTATTTGTTAATGTCGTATGGCTTGTCAATGGGAAATAACAAATGGCCTCCTACATCACTTTGTGAGTCAAAGGTACTTTCTTAATTGAGAATTTAATCCTTCTCAGATCCTACAGATGATTAAATTTCATTTCCTATGAGAGACACTCTCAGAATAAAGGACGTTTAAAGCTCAAGTGCAACTTTTGAGAAGAATGTAGGTCAATTGTCTGGAATTATTTCATAGCAATCCCAATCAAATACATACATATAGCTATAATAAAGAAAACTGTACTTCAATACAAACTCCACAAGTTCTTCTTCAACATGAAGACATGGTTACTCAACATTTTCTCTGTACACCCTGTAGTTAAGACCTAAAAATAAACTTGGTAAACTGAATGAATATATATTCATCTATACCGTACTTGCCTTCAAAGTTCATATTGACTACCAAATAATTTATTTTGAAATACCATCTACAAAGAAGACAGATTAATTCCTATCTTCCTCTCAGTTGTCAATACACCACTGTTCCTTTAAATTTTAGCAGCTTTAATATGATATATCTCTAATGCCTGATGAATAATCCATCATGTCGTCATTGTTCAGATAAGATGGTTGTTTCACATTTTCATCTCGTTTCACATTTAGGTCTTCCTTTCTCACAGTAATATATCATCTATTTCTCATTTGATCTTACCGAAAATACACACTGTGAGTCACTATCACATGTATACCATCTGGTATCATTCCTGAACATTTGAAATAAAATATCATTTTTTAATAAAAATTCATTTTATTAAAGTGATTTTATGTTTTTTCCACTGTTAATTTCAATTATTACATGGTCGTTTTTTTTTTGGGGGGGGGTGCTTTTTACTACTTTTAATGCATATTATTCTTATACAGTATGTTAGGTTTATTCTGTTCTTACCTTTGCTTGTGAGCTTTGGTGATATTCAATATTTATATTTCTGTGTACTAAATTTTTATCCTGTTCAGGACCATGATGTAAAACAAATTTTGTATCTACAATGTATATCTGATTCTTGTTATCCTAAATAAATATATTTGAATAAAAAATTAAAAAATAAATTGAAAATTCTTCCTAAATGATATTCATTTTATATCATTATCATGGCTAGTAGAGATAACATAACATTACAACCTCTTTTGAAAAGTATTCGTTTATCCCGACTATGCTTTAACTGGTCTCCAGCTGCTTCTAATAAGATTCAGAGTATTTCATGAAACCCTTCATAGAACGAATGAATAGTATATTAACTAACTATTCAATGGGCGATACGGCGTCTGTGCATATTAGTTCAATGGTTCTTCAATCCTATGTTGGGCTGATGAATTTTAAAACATATCCATCAACCAACATCATGACAATTATCCCGATACCGGCTTTAATGCAAACTTGTTGAAATTTAGGTCAAACAGTATACGCTTGTAAAGATGTAACCTGTGGCAATATTATAATAAAGAAAAATATATAAACGTGTATAATGGGAATCAAAGAAATGTATATCTATAAAGTCAAATGCAAAGTTTAGATTTACACAATAAATCAACATTATAGGCTTACTGAAGGATCGTATAACTCAATTTTTCATTTTGAAAAAAAAAAGGTAGAGGGAAGCTGTGATTGATTTTCAATGATTCATTACTAAAATAATTACACAGAGGTGAACAAAATTGGATGCAATCCAATATTTAATGGCTAATTCCGCAAAACTGTCTTTTAAAAGTCAGTTTCAAGATGAAATATGAGTGATGAAGAAAGAAAGAACAATTATTTCCTCAAGTGAAAAGGGGGCAAAAGAATCATATCAAGTGATTTCAAATCAACAATACAGAAAACCTACCGATTCATTCCTGATAATTCATTCATTTCATTTCAAAGCTTATCATTCAGATGAAAAGATCTTGGTCAAAAGTTTCTTGAAGAGCTTTTATTACTTCACAAGATATGTGCCTTCTGATCCTGGATAGTAGTTACGAAGGGACCACTTATCCCTTTAAATCAAATTCTGTCTTCGACCTCTGACCTCCTCCAATCAGTGTGACACACCAGGGGGTATTCTTTGCCAACCACCTTGCCTTAAATCTCACCGACTTAGGCGGTTTCAGGCCAACACAGATTCATATGTTTACTGATGCAGTCAATGGTAGTATCTTACTTTTCGCCAAGAAATGGGTTTAATTTCTGTAACAAGGTGCCCTGGCCATTAGGAGGCATTGGGCATAATTAAAGGCCTTCTTGTATATTTACATAGTACATTTAATGACCATACTTCAATGATGTAACCGATGACATTCCATTGACTGAGACTTTCCAACAGTGTTTGAAGTCGATGGCAATTAACTAAACAATACAAGTAAATTACTCTATGCCATGCAACTTAGGTATGAGCTACTATGAGAATGAATCTTACAATCCATTAACAGAAACATCCCGGGATTATAAGCCATGTGCCTCAACATTATACTTCATTCATACTTCAATGATGTAACCAGGCGCGGATCCAGGATTTCTTAGGGGAGGGGGCCCAACTTTTTTTTTTTTTTGCTCCCCAAAATTTGAAAATCGCGCCGGCCGAAATGTCGCTCAATGGGGGGGGGGGGGGGGGGGGGGGGGGGGGGGGGGGGGAGTGAGCACAATTTTTTTTTTTTTTTGCTCCCGAAAATTTGAAAATCGCGCCGGTCGAAAAGTCGCTCAGTGGGGGGGGGGGGCAAATTTTTTTTTTTTTGGTCCTCGAAAAAATTTTAATTTGCACCCCCCCCCCCCCCCCTTGAGCACCAGGGGGGGGGGGGGCCCAACCCCCTAAAAAGGTAAAAATCACGTGAATTTACATGATTTTTTTTCTCAAGGGGGGGGGGGGGGGCCCGGGCCCCCCCCCCCCCCCCCCCCCCCCCCCCCCGGATCCGCCACTGGTATATAGGAATATATAGTAAGGCGAGGCGTCAAAAATAAATATACCAGCCAGCGGCAGCTAACTGCACTTGTGCGTCCTGGCTGCATTTTTTAAATTAGCTCAGCCGGCTACCGCTGGCGGTAGGACCCTCAATTAACTCATGATGTCATCATAATGGTCTCCGAACAAAAGCATGCGCCGGCTGCCGCCTTTCGAATGGAAACCGAGCCTCAGATCCCAGCCTGGCGCAAGCCGGCTGGGCTAATAAGTGAAAAATAATTGCCCCAGCCAGGCTTCGGCCGTAATTGCAGCCTCGATGCGCCAATACGTAAGGCGGCAGCCTGCTGGTATCGATATTTTTGACGCCTCGCCTAAATATTAACCAAGTAAAAATAAGGAGGACCCCCTAAACGAGTAGAGATTGGCTGCTAGTGAGAAAGCTGTCTGTCACTGGTATGTAGCACCTGTCCTCCAGGTCAGGAGTCCCACTGACCAGAGACCTGTAGCTATACTCCTACATGATCTACATGTAGCTCAGCTATCTGTGAACCACTGTATATTTCCTCTGTGAGTCCACACTCTTTTACCAAAGCTTTCACTAGATTCACTTGTCAAAAAAACTGATGTCTTGAATATTGAATTTATTGCACCACAAAAGCTTGTTTAATGCCACACTGTACTACTTGTAGCTACTTGCGCCCTCTATATAGCAAACAATGCCTAATCGGTGCCTGTTGATCCCCCATGATGCCCCTTTTCTAAATGTTAATTGAAAGCTGATTTGATGAGATAACCACCTGTCAGTGACCATGCAGGAAGGTCTAACCCAT